TGCACATAGAATGTTCTTTGATTTATTGCTGCCACAAGAGATTCGACAACAAAGTTCAGGTTCATGTGTGTGTCTGTCTCCATATTCTGCACTCAGGTCTTGTAATGTGATCTTAACAGCAAGACAGATGGGACCAAGAGATGCCGCAAGCTTGGTAGGGTGATCACACACATCTGTCTATAGTTGTGAGGACAGTCACTGATATAATGCAGCACTAAAATCAAGCCCTAACCCTCAAACAGCCGAAATGTCCTCATGATGACAGTGTCGAGCAAAAACGTCTCCACACAGCGACATGAAGACATGTATGCCTCAGCTCACACAGCTGTTCTGGCTGACTGGCTCTGAGTGTCCTGGGAAATTGTAGGGGGCTATGTTTAAGTTCAGGATCAAACTCAATGCACATCTTTATGTCCAAAAATGAGCTGGTGTAGATATCTAAAGGTAATGCAAGGTGAGAGAGAAAAATGCTTAAAATTAGAGTGAGAAAGAAACAAAAATCAAGGCATACTGCTGAAATGGAGCTTTGAGTGTTGAGTGCATCCATCCTGCAAGCCCACATTTATACACAAAGGTGGTCCTGTTCTTCCATCTGGTGTTTACTGGTGGGACCACAACTACAGGTGATATAACTGCAGATGATCCTATGTTTCACTAATGGGCCTCAACAGATCAAGGCTTTGAGATCAGAATACCATTAAAGAGCAGAAAATATAGGGCGATATACAGGAACTGTGCATCTAAAAATGCTGGAAGGTTCTAGGAAAAAAAAATCCAGGTTGGAACATCTAGAATCATTATAAGTAAAACCAGACCAAAAAAAAACAAAACAATTCTTATTTCCTTTTTTCTGTTTTAAGAATTTCTGACCTTCCCCCACAGTGTGTTTGTGTGGAAAATGACCTGGCGGGGCACCGTGCAGGGGCACTGCAGAGTGATCAAGCAGAAAACTATCAGGCATTTAAATGAATTCCTGTCTGAATTAGTGTTTATGACAGATGATAAGCTGTAGTATCCAGTTCACCGGGGATAACAGACTGCCTGTATTCTGTGTAGCAGTCATAGGCATGACGATTAATAATAATAAACAACAACACAGATATCCTAAGAAATTATCAGCTTCACAGTTACATATCACTGTTGTTTATTCCCAGAAGACTACCTTCCTAAAATAAACCCCAAAGAGACACAAATTACTTGGTGTACTTTATATAATCCTCTCTGGGGTACACAGGTCTGTGAAATGTGCACTTAAACCACATTTATTTAGTACAAAAGCAGACAACCAATACATACTGTGGACGAAAGAAGAGCCACAGAAACATCTATTCCTTTTCATTAAGACTGTGTGTTTCTGTGTGAGTGTATGTAACAGCCCACCTGGTCACATCGTGAGAGTTATTGGTCCTGGCTGCCTCCAGAAGAGCATCACCTTGTTATTGAAAAAACAGATAGAGAAAACATTACACAAGAAGAACAGGTGATGCTTAAGTACACATTAGCTAATTAGGGATGTGCCATTACTGTTTTTAAAAGTCAAAATGCCATTCCCAAATATTTCCCTAACTCCACTGAAAATGTGCAAAACTAGCTTATAAAACTGTTATCAATTTACAATATTACAGAAATAGTCAGTGACAGATTACTACCAGACAATGGAATTGTAACAAAGTCAGACAATACAATGTGTACCTTTGCTATCATGGTCTTTCTTCAGGCAGAGAGCCACGGCTGCGGCGCACACAACACCGATATTAGACACCCCTGCCTGCCTGGCTCCTCCACCTGACCCACGGCCTTCACCCCCGCCGCTTTGCCCGCTGTCTTCCCAGTACAGGTTGTTGTTGTGCCCTCTGCTGGCCAGCGCCGCCCAGGAGCTGCGGCGGTTCTCCAGGTTGGACACCCATCTAGCGGCGAGGTGATGGTACTGCACCGCCGGGTTCACATTGCTACTAGCCGTGTCCTCGGTCAAAATTCCCCGTCTGGAGACCCGGGAAGTGGTCACACTGAGGTTGCGGTTGGCTTCCGTCGGTGTCTCGCGGATGCCTAAATCCAGAGGGAAACGGAGATCCCGCGGGCGTCGGTTCTGGTGTAACAGCAGTTACGCCTCAATAACAAGCAGCAAATCGCAACCAGCGTGACCAAAACAACCTCTTCTCTGAATCGTAGCGTGGATGTCGCCAGAATTTGCGGTGTATTCTGGGAAATGTAGTTTTACTGGAAACGCTGACGCGTTGGTGAGAATTAATCGTTACCTACGTCTGATTTTGCTTAAACTAAGTTAAATTGCAGTGGGGGACATCGGCGTCTGTGAGTCTATCATATTTCTGTTATTTGTAGTGGAAAGCTTTGGCACATATGTATAAAGTTAATGAAAGGGCATCAAAACAGAGACATCTTTTGCACATTCGTACTGCTCTCAAGTGTAATGGTTATTATTGAGGTTTCCAACTGAACTAGCTAGTTAGCTGTTTTATTGCGATAATTATTGAGGTTTCCACCTGAACTAGCTAGTTAGCTGTTTTATTGTCAGCATAACTGTCCTGTTTGCCTTTTTTTTATTAACGTTAATAATCACAATATATAGTAGCTGTAGGTTATTACTGTTCTCCATTTAAGCAATCAGTGGTCTCAGTCTTGAAATAGGAGGTGATGACTTGACAGCCAACTGTGACTTATGGGATCCCATTTAAACAGTCGTTTTGTCACTGTAACAGGGCATAGGCCTAGTTGATTTTCTGGGGCTTTCTTTTACATCTCCTTTGTAGCAGAAAGTTACGGTTGTTTTCTCAAAGACTATAGCAAACATTTGATGAGACAAGCAGTTGTTTTGTCAAAGCATTGGTCCTGTGGTAGTGTGTCATGGCCTCCAGGTGGCGACAAAATCACGCCAGCAGGACCATTGCAGACATGTTATTATCTGAAGACTCCTTAAAATGATCAGGTTCAGATCTAATTTTGAACAATGGCTGGAAGACATTTACTTATTCCCTTAAGTCAGGAAACAGACTACACAGCTGTGAATGAACCCTAAACATGTTCAGGACTTTCAAGTAGATATTAAAAGATTATGCACTCAAATATGGATAAACTGTTTTACAATCCCAAATTCCTGGTGAAATACAATACTGGGTAGGGGGCCAATCCCTTCACATATAAAAAAAAAACAGTGGCAGATGCAAAATATAAAACTATCCATCTATTTAAGCTTTGTATGGTTTGAATTATCAGTTGTTGACCTGCCCAGCTGTTCATCAGCTTCTTTTTCCAGTGCTACTCGGTCGTTTTATAGGCCTGAATCAGTCTCCCATTCACTGGTAGGCCTACATTTTGGTGTCTAGAGGAACAAAGATGATTTATGCTTTGCTTTCCTGTGTAAATGTCTTGTGAACCATATAGGATAGTGTTGATTCAGTGGCTTCCTTTCTCCCCAGAGGAACACAATTATCTTGTATTTCTGTTTGTATGTGATCTGCTTTATTGGGATGCACAAGAAAGAACCGAGGATAAAAATATTAGTTAGTGTTGTACTGGGAAGAATAAAAGTTGTACACACATGTTGTGTTCCCATTACTTCAGAGGACATGACATTGACATAGATTTATTTCCTGGAAACTTACTCTAACCTTAAACCAAGTCACCACTCCAACATGTAATGGTTTACTTTTTGGAGACTTGCTTTTTGTCTCCATAAAGACATTATGTCCCCCCAATGAGACTGTCCCTAAAACATGAATAATACTGGAGCGTGCACACACACTCGTGTATTTGTTTTCATTCCTTGTTGAGACTTTACATTGATTTACTGCATATTCATTTTATATTATGGAAATTTAACGTAATCACTACTTGCCTAATTCTAACTCTTACCCTAACCTTAATGCAAGTTGTCACTCTAAATTCAATAATTTACATGATGGGGACCAGTATCCTGTACCCATGAGGAAGGCAAACTGTGTGAGTGTGTAAACAGAGTAATACCAGTATGAGTAATACCAGGTTTGCACACAGACACAGCGGCCTGTTATCTCAGTGTTGAGGGAAAGCACAGACCAGTATGCTTTAAGTACTTCCTACACAAGAAACCTAGTTCGATATGCCTGATAATAATAATACACTGATCAGCCATAACATTATGACCACTGAGAGGTGAGGTGAATAACACTGATTACCTCATTACAATGACACCTGGCAGTGTGTGGGGTATATCAGCCAGCAGGTGAACATTCAGTCCTCAAAGTTGATGTGTTGGAAACAGGGAAAATAGACAAGCATAAGGACCTGAGTGACTTTAAAAAAGGCCAAACTGTGATGTCTGATGACTGGGTCAGTTCATCTCCCAGATTGCAGGTCTTGTACCTGGTCTGCAGTGGAGACAGACAGTGAACCGGTGAAAGGGTCATGGACGCCCAAGGCTCACTGATGATGAGGTTGACTTACTGTAGATTAAACTTTTAAAGTAATTCATCCTTTTCAAAAGATTCCATTTAGTTTGAATCTTTTTAAAATGGTGGAAAATGAGAAATACTGTACACTGGTCTCTATGAAGAGAAACATTCAGCAGCTGTAGTGATGATATCACACCTAGAGTGGGAAGGCTGTTGAATTAGTCTAAACAATTCTCTCTAACTTGTCCTCACGGCCACAGTTTTCATTCCTTTTACATAAGTTTTGTCGTTACTTACGACAGGTAACAGTATCATAGATCTTTAATCTGCTCGTTAACCAGCAACACATCACATGCAGCAGATACACTGGCCTCAAGCAGTCAGAACAAACAGGTACTGTGCTCCGGGGAAATCCAGCGATGATGTGCTGACCATGTTTCACCACGGGGGCTTCACTGGCCTGCTGATTGTAGGTTAGACCCAGTTAGGTAAAACAGCGAGTCGCGGTACAGGAACATTCTTGGACATGCAGTAACCTCAGGCCTTGTATTTTTCTCCTCATCCTCTGGTCACAGTGCAGCAGGAGGAGTTAAAATATATCCACAAAACGGCATGCAGTCAAAAAATGTAGTTTTTAAAATTGCACCAGTGGATGTGAGGCAAGCTTTCATGAACTCACACACCCAGAACATTATGACCATTCAAGGAAATCCATGAACTATTGCAGAAGACTTTACATAGTTGGAAAAAAAAGTCTCACCAGCAAGATTTCACAAGATTTGTACAAGATGAGTTGCTTCTGCATAGACAAACAACAAACATAGGTACAGCTTTCAGTCACGTTTAAGATGATAAGTTGTCGTTGTGACATTGTAGATAAGTCAGAAAACAGAAAAGCATGCCATGGGCTCTTTTAAAGCAATGGTATGTCATTTTGATATTCATATTAGGTGGGTACATTGTGTGCTGAGAGTATAGTCTAAGTAGCCTCACCAGACATGAGTCATAGAGGACATAATGCTCAACTATTATAAATTCACTAGCTTTATTTGCCATCTCATCTAAATGTTCCAGGACTGTGGGTTTACTACTGCAGATACCTGGTGATGTTTCTAAAGCATTTTTTTTTCTTTTACTGATCTTATGAATACCATCTTGCAGGATGAAGACCAAGTCCCCATACTATGTGATGGGATTATTTGATGGCTGATATTTGTGCCTTTTAACAGTCAGCCATACATTTAACAGACCAAAGCTTAACAAACAGGTGAAACTAGCTTTGTTAACAATGGCTCAGTCTCTGTGTACTGTTTGCTGTTCCAACAATCACAGCAGCAGAGCCCTAAAACTGTATATCCATGCAGTATACAGCTAAAATGGACGATTAACATTATTAACTATACCTGCGCTTATCATACTATCACGTCAATGTGTCTGCAATACAGTTTGTTGCAGGATTTTAGTTCCATTACGTACAGTGACTTTCGTGCCATTCTTATCAGTCCATAAAAATGATTACAAAAACTAAACTAACAAAACCAAAAGTATTCTAATGAAATAATTCATTAAGGGCATTACAAAAATGCAAGGCTCTCTGTCTACTCTGACAATAAACACAAAAGCAAGATGGATTTTTTCTGGCCAGTGGTGGAAGAAGTACTCAGGTTGTTTACGTAAGTAAAAGTAGCAATACCACAGTTTAAAAATACTCTGGTACCAGTAAAAGTCCTGCATTCAAATTGTTACTTAAGTAAAAGTACAAAAGTAATAGCATAAAATATACTTAAAGTTCTAAAAGTAGTCATACAGAATGGCACAGTTCTTATTAATGTATATCATATTATTGGACTAATTATTGGTGTATTATTGTGTACATCACAATTAATGTTACATCTGATTAAGGTAGAGCTAATGTTAACTACTTTATATGCTTATACTTTGAAGTACTTTACATACTACTGGGTAGCTTGTGAATTCCCCACTAGGAATCAGTAAAGTCTTATGATTATAGTGTATTTTGCTGAATTAATCTCAAGTCTGAAAAGTAACTAGTAACTAAAATGATCAAATAAATGTAGTGAGCAAAAGTACATTTTTCTGTAAAAATGTAGTAAAGTTAAAATATGAAGTAGAAAATGAAAATACTCAAGTAAAGTACAGATACCTAAAAACTACATAGTGGGTGGCTGTGGCTTACGAGGCAGGGCCCCACTAGGAATCAGTAAAGTCTTATGATTATAGTGTATTTTGCTGAATTAATCTCAAGTCTGAAAAGTAACTAGTAACTAAAATGATCAAATAAATGTAGTGAGCAAAAGTACATTTTTCTGTAAAAATGTAGTAAAGTTAAAATATGAAGTAGAAAATGAAAATACTCAAGTAAAGTACAGATACCTAAAAACTGTACATAACCACAGTCCTTTGTTTTTGCTGACAGTTTTGTGGTTGATTACACTTGTTTGACAAATGTCTGCTGTGAAAGGTGTCTATTCAATTTTAGTTTCACTCCCACATTTCGCTCCAGGACATGTGTCACCAAGACATACTGAGTGACACTTATGTTTTGATAATGACAATGTGAGACTGTCATCCTAGTCAGGAATTTACCTTTCACTTCCCGCATCAGAAGGTTATTCTGCTATGCTTTACTGTGATCTATTGGTCACCGTGTGTAACATGTGACCACCACATAGCTAGTGAGCAGGAGGGTAGAGTGGTAATCTGCAGCACTTTGGCTCCACTACAGTACCTGTCAAGTGCTATAAGATGAAACTACACAGAGAAAATGTGCATGGACCACCCTTGTTTTATACTGTATATTCACACAAATATAGGTTACATATTTGATTCTAAAGAGCTCAAGAAGTCGTGAGAACACCCACAGATTAAACTTAGTGAAGCAGGCCAATAATGGTTGTACACACTCCAAGATGAAAGGAGGGAGACAGAGGAAAGGGGAAATGACACGACAGACTGAGGGAAAGATGGAGACAGGCAAGCAGAGTGAGGGGATATAACAGATACACAGTAACACACACAAAATCATGTCATTTAAATGTGTTTACTGTTCTCAGTAGTAGGAGCTGTCACTAACTTGAGCTATGAGCAGCTCAGGAGGAAGCAGGACAGAAAGACAGGTGAAGACTGACGTGTATATACACGTCAGCCAACGAGAGCCAGGCGCGCACCCGCTGCTCGTGAACTAACCAGTTTACAAAAATGTGTGTGTATGGTGTGGCAACGCGCGTTGTGTTCAGGTACTGTAGGCAATATAAGAACGATAAATAAATATCTAGGCAGGGGTTGGCTGCGGTGTAAGTATTAAAACAACCATGCTAATAGTGACCATGGAGAGTATGTAGGTCTCATAGTCATTGTGTTGTTCACACTAATGGCTGTTTCACTCTGTACTTGCGACTTTAATGGAAGCATAGGCCTCTTCTCCCTTCACAACTTATTTGTATTTCCTGGGTTAACTGATGAGCAATTTTAACAAGAATATTCCAAATGTGAGCATGTGTTGCTGAACTTTCACAAGGTTTGTGCTACATCTTGTTAGTTTAATCTCTTCTCGGGGTCTATGGTAACACATAGGCTCATAGAATTGTACTGGTACAAATATGAAAATGTGTATACCAGTACAAAATATTAATTAGGCATACTATAATATTATAGTATGCAATTGAACTATCTATTTTTGATTCATGTGAATTGTTATTGTCAAGAAGTTTTGTTGTAACTCAAAACAGGCTATCCTGGGGATCTGCATATTAAAACATTGCTCCATAGGACTCCTGGTAGTGAAAAGGCTTAACCTCTAGAGTCCCTGCGTCCTCATATGAGGACCGCACAGCTTGGGTTTCCAAAGCTCAGGACTCTAGAGGTTATGTAGCCTACTTTTAAAGTTTTATTCATAGAACAAAGTGGGTCAAAACAAGACAGATAAGAATGTGAAATGATCAAGGATTATACAAAACTAGAGCACAAACATGTCAAGGCAGCTCAGTTTCCCCATAAAGGCTGTTTTGAGCCGTGTGTTATAAAATGGGCAAATTAAAGACAATAAATAAAACAGGCTCATACTGTGGGCTACTGTTGCACAGCTACAATCTTATAGTGCCGAAAATCAGTTTAAAAACAGGACGTTTGAGAAAACAAAAAGAAAATGTCCTTAAGCTAAAGTTTTACGAGGACCACCTGAAGGCAGCGCATGGAGGCGTTTCGCCGCGTCGCTGCTCAGCTTCATCTCTCCTCCTCTACCCATCAGCCTCCTCCTCTTCCGCTTATTTCTCTCCGCATCTCTTCTCCCACCTGCTAAGGCGGCGATGGAGAGGCGCTGTAAATTATTATAAGCTCACACACCACCGCAAGTAAGAGAGAGCGAAAGAAACACGGAAAGGATAGGTAAAGACGGAGCCTCCGAGACGCCTTCAGAGCGAGTGACAAACAGAAACATATGGTTTGTCTGACCTGCAGCTGTTTGGGCCAAAACTTATTCAGCCACCGCGACCAACTAAAAGCCGCCACCGACGCGTCCATTTCATCTTTTGACACTTCTTCTGCCTGTCGCACTTGTGTGCGGCTGCGCTTACGCCCCTGGTTAGTTTGTACGGGGTGCATTGCGGTTGTTGTGCCTCTCTGAACGTGCGCACACGCATCATCACAAGACGCCGGTGCAGCCCACAAAAGCTGTTTTCAAGGAAGAAATTGAATTAGATAAGTTATCTCCACAGAGAAGGAGGGTAGGAGTGGCTGGCTCTAGACTTTGCTTCACCGACTTCCCGTGTCTCCTCAGGGCCCAGCAGGACTCTCCTAGACCCTCTCTCTCTTCCCGGTAACAAGCCATGTCCGGACAGGAGGTGACCATACCGGACGACCGGGCGTTCGCCACTTTCAAGGCGGAGTGTCTGTGCGAGGAAGGCTGGAGTATGACCTACAGCAAGGGGGGCATCACGGTGTGGGCCCAAGGTCTGGAGGAGGGAAAGTCCATCCACAAAATGAAGGTGAGACTGCTTAACCTCACAAGAATGAAATATGTAAAAGCAAGTGTGTCACGCAAGTTCTTATGATATATAAAAACATTAACAAGAAAGTCATTCCTTATGCTTACGACTGTGTGTTTATACTGAATTCTGTTACAAACATTTACTGGAGAACAGCACAACGCAATGGGTAGAAATAAAGCAGTATAGTGCAGTTGGCAGGAAATTGTTCTTTCTAAATCCCCATATGTTTCAAACTGCTGACACATGCGTTTAGCCATTGCTTTTTGCTGCACAGTCCTATTGTAGTTGCAGAGATTGACAGATTACTGAATGGGTTTAGCCAGTCACAAGGCCCAGGGGCCTGAGAGGTCAGAAGCATTAGGCCAGAGTTTCTCTATGAACTCACAGAATTCAGTTAAAATACTACAAATAAATGCAAAGCAACCACAAACAGACTCAAAATGACTACATAGCATCCCAAAGTGACAAAAATGACCAATGTAACACAAATAGCTGCAATTTTATATGAAAATAGGATGGAAACTGCCAAAAAGAGAGACAAGGCTATTACAAAAAGAAGCAAGACTATCATAAAGAGCCACAACAGCTACAAAGACCCTAAACAACTGATGGTCCTGTGTAGAGGGGGTAAGGAGCCTTTTACCTGTTTGTACCCAGGGGCCCATTTTCTCCTAATCCATTCAGGAGGCTTCTCCAACCTACTAATAGATGTCTGTTGACAAAGCATACTGTGGGTTGTCCATTTGTTAGCACATATACAAAAGAGCTGAAACATTTGTATGATGATAAGAGTGCAACTATAAAGCTTTCAGTAGGAAACTTGTTTTCACTCTCTGATTAACGAACATAGCCTGTGTTAGGTTCACTCACCCCCACTACTTTTAAATGTGTGTGGCGGTGGGGTTGTGAATTTATGCCTGACGCACATTATAAGAAATTCCCTGCACTAAACAAAAGTGAGAGCAGGAGTCAGCCTCAGGAGACAGGTTTGATCCTCCACAGACACATCATGTGCCAGTGAAACTTTCCAAACCACTACCCAAAAGCATATTAGGAAAAGTGCTAAGTATAATATGTCAGCATACACGTTGTCCTTGAAGAGTTTGATATTATTCTATTCTATTCTACTGTTGTTTTAAATGTTATTTTTGGCTCTGGTAACAGGTGATGGCCATTTGTCATTATCTGTAGACACTTTATGACGTCCCAGCCCTAGAGCTGCATTAGTACATTTTTCCATTAACGGCACAAAATGCAGTGAGTGGGGAACATGTACTGCAGTAGTTCCTGATCATTGTTTATATAAAGTATTAAAGTGACAGGGATGTGAACGTTCTTGTTGACTAAACTTTATTATCTGCTCAAATAGCAGTATGTCTCAACTGTGAATGTTTGTCTAGGGAGTCGATGTGAAGGCGTTATCAGGATGGTAATGCCACTTAAAGGCATGGGTAAACTGTTCCATTTAGTACATTATATATGACCACAGTCGGCAATAATGCTTTGTGTTTGTGCAGACAAAGAGCCAGAGGAGAAAACTAACCCACAACCTGTCTTTACAGCTCAGCTGTGGCAAAACATGTGCTTCTATCTGAATATGAACAGATTAACATAAAAAGTAGTTTGTGTTAAGATACAAAGTGAAATTCTAATAAAATGTTCACTTCCCTTTTTTTTAAATTATATAGTTAAGAGGGTTCTGTTTTGGGACCTAAATTATTCATACTATATATTAATGATATATGCAAGGTTTCTGATTTACTGAAAGTGGTTTTGTTTGCTGATGACACTACCATATGGGCATCGGGTGAAAACCTTCAGCAACTATCTGGATGGGTTACACAGGAACTTGAGAAGATTGTCAGGTTTGCCCGGCTGCACCTACTTTCTCACTCCCCTCACTCTGTTTTCACTCCCTTACCCTCATTACGTTATCCTTTACACCTGCTTCTTACCCCCGGATTACCACCAGCTGCACTTGATTAGTGTCTCCCTATTTAGTCCCTGCTCTTCATTCACTCCCCTGCCAGTTCTTTCTAGCATTTCTCAGGCCCGTTTGTTCCCCGTCGTTTTTTTTGATTCTGTGTTAGTATTTTGTCTCCTTCTCTCCAGCTGCTTAGATTCATTCCCTCCTTGCCACAGTCGCTCCTTCGGACCACGGACCTCCTCCGCTCTGCTTCATCTCCACCCTGCAGGTCGATGCACAGTCTACTACTTACCGTATGTACTCTTT